TCATTGATATTAAACAAAAACAGAGGTGCAACTAGTACTCTGAGAGAGAACTCTATCAACATCAGAGGTCCGAGACTGTTCAACACGCTTCCACTACACATAAGGGGCATAACTGGCCGACCCCTCACAGTGTTCAAGAGAGAACTATCAACATCAGAGGTCCGAGACTGTTCAACACGCTTCCACTACACATAAGGGGCATAACTGGCCGACCCCTCACAGTGTTCAAGAGAGAACTATCAACATCAGAGGTCCGAGACTGTTCAACACGCTTCCACTACACATAAGGGGCATAACTGGCCGACCCCTCACAGTGTTCAAGAGAGAACTATCAACATCAGAGGTCCGAGACTGTTCAACACGCTTCCACTACACATAAGGGGCATAACTGGCCGACCCCTCACAGTGTTCAAGAGAGAACTGGATAAGCACCTCCAAAGGATACCTGATCAACCAGGCTGTGACTCGTACGTCAGGTTGCGAGCAGCCGCGTCCAACAGCCTGGTTGATCAGTCCGGCAACCAGGAGGCCTGGTCGACGACCGGGCCGCGGGGACGCTAAGCCCCGGAAGCACCTCAAGTAAGTAAAAGTAAAAGTAAACAAAGTAGGATTGCTAAGTGCTTGAAGAGGTGACTTTGTGTCACAAATTATTGCTCCTGTTCTGTTTAAGGTATAAAATTCAGTCAGTTGTTTTTGTCTAATGGTAATGTAGTTTTTTTGTAGAGTCTGTTAGCTGCTGAAGTGCAACAGCTTTGTTGAACTGAGCCTCAGCAGAGTCTTATTATTTGAATGGTTACCCCAAACTTCAGGTACGTTTTTTTTTATCTTTTTAGTATTTGGATAGAAAATGGTTACGCAGCCATAACTCTTCTGAATTATTTTAAATTATATATCTTAATAATGTTTTGTTATTTATGTTTAATAATTCCAAGAAGTAAAATTAATTAAGTGGTAATAATATTGATAAACTTTTTAAAGAAAAAAGGAGTCCTGTGGTTATTTACGTTAATATATATATATTGTTTTACTATTAACAAAAGTATAACAGAGAAATAAATTTAATTTTGTTTAGGAAAACTTGCAGTGACTTCAGTAAGCCCTACAACACGGTACAGATTAAGGAAAATGGTAGAAGAGCTGACTGATAGAGACGTGGAGGAAATACTGCAGTTGCCCCTACAACACAGTGGAGATCAGAGAAAATGACAAAAGCGCTGACGGGAGACAACCGACCAGCCCTCACCCTACGAGAATGTAAACAAAAGATCTGGCGCTGTCTCGCTCCCTCATTGGGTTTGTATAGGTATAGATTATTTACCTGGGGCCACTAATACTAATGGCCTCGACGAGGACAGGAAGCTGGCGGCTTGTCAAAGGTCCTTTCCCATTTGCCAGATGATCTTTTCTAGCTGTATTTTAAACCCCAGCAGAGTTTTGGTGTTTATGGCTTCGGTGGATATGAATATATATATAGCGATAATCGTCACTAAAAGATCCTTTCAGTATTTTCTACTTCAGCTGTTATGTCAACAAACTTTTGCCTCCACATTGAGCTTCGGTGTAACTCAACTGCATCTCAAAATTATCCAAACCTACTATCCATTTGATTAGTAGATAATTTGACAATAATCCAAATAGATAATTTGTATTATTATCCTTATCCAAATTATCAATGCAACATTTTCAAATGGAATTCGCCTGTTACACTGTCAACACACTTTATGAATTTTTCAGCTCCTTTGAATGTCAACAATTTAGTAAATATTGAAGAAAGTTGATCAGTTGAAGGCTATGAATGACTGTTTTCTAATGAATTTCAAGATCTGTCAAGTGTATATGTTTTAGGTTTGTGGAAATATTTTAAAGTACCATTATCGATATCGTACATTAAAGTATGAGGAGAAATCTGTGGAAAATCTAAATCTTTAAATCCACACAACATCAGACAATGCTTTGCAAGAAAATTTCATCCACTCAATAAACTGTTTAAGAACAGAACATCTTCTAAGTTGTTTCATTTAGCTTTAAAGATAACCTTTACATATTTGTTTATTATGGGTGAGGTTTAATACATCAAGGGGAGAGCACTGCATGCCTCTTGCCATCAAATTGTGCATGCGTGCCACCTTAGGCACGCGTGCCATATGTTCGCCACCCCTGCCCAAGCCCAACTACTGACCTTCGTCAGGGTGCAACCCACAACAATTTCCTAACTCCTGGATACCAATTGTACTGCTAGGTAAACAGAGGCATCCCCCCTAAAAGAAAACGTGCCTAACCGTTTCGACCCAGTCTGGGGACTGAACCCCTCGGTTGTAAACCGAGAACATAGACAACTGTGTTGAGAATCTAAAATAAAACACAGTAAAGCTGAATAAAGTTTTACTTTAGTAAAGGAGGCGGATTTGTTTCATAATAAATATCTCACCAATATTAACTTAAAATTAACATAATTTAATTCACAGAAAATATAATTAATACACAATATTTAATAATTTATGAGAGAGAAAATGAAGGCTGGGGGGGGAACAATTAATTCGTAACACGAACGATTTGGGACAACTTGGATATTCTTAGTCCAGGAATACCAGTAAGAATACTTGTGAGAACACCAGTAAGAACACCAGTAAGAATACCAGTAGGAACTCTAGTGAGAACACTAAAAAAATCATTTAAAAAATACTTGGAAGAATTCTGGTAAGAATACTTATATTGATACTAATAATAATGCTAGTAAGGTTACTCTCAAGAATACTATTAAGATTACCAGTAAGAATACTGTTAAGATTACCAGCAAGAATACTAGTGTACAGTGGCAAGAAAGCTAGTAAGAATCCTTCTAAGAATACTAGTATAGTTACTTGTAAGAATAGTAGTAAAATACCAGTAAGAATGTCAGTGAGAATAATAGTAAGAACACTAAGAAAATACTTGTAGGAATACTGATAAGAATACTAGTTAGAATACTTGTCAGAATACAAGTAAGAACCTGAGTAAGAAAAAGAGATAGAACACGAGTAAGAACATGAGTAAAAATACGAGTAAGAACACATGTATGAATGCGAGTAAGAACACAAGAACAAGAGGAAGAACAAAAGTAAGAACAGAGACAGAGAACAGTAAAGATATCCGTTAATATTAGCAGATAAAGAGGAAGAACAAAAGTAAGAACAGAGACAGAGAACAGTAAAGATATCCGTTAATATTAGCAGATAAAGAACGTTTGGGCGAGACTTTATTGACAGCAAAAATTATAGAAGAGCCACACAGAGAATTATATAAACACATAGAGCGCATAGATGTAAACTTTGATAGAAAAATACGCTATATTTGTCCAGGTGCCGTCAACATCGGCTTGTGTTGTTCTAACTGGAATATCTCCTTTAAATTAATCTTATATGCAGTGCCGAAAAATCCATTTTCTAAGTTATTATTAATATACTTTGCACTAAAGTATAATAGATATTCGTGCATTCGTTTGGCTAGAAAGTCGTGTTTTTGTTGAAGGTTTTGAGACGGCCGTATCTCCTTAAATAATAGTCTGAGGACGTTGATATTGTAAAATGGCAACAAAAGGCTTTACCCAAAAAAATGCAACCGGTTCCGGTAAACCTATTGGGACTATTTTTAAAGTGATTCTATGGCTGGTTTAGAAGTTGAGTTTTGTGAAAAATGACGATTTCGTCCGGCGGGTCGCTGGTAGCGGAGCAGAATGGAAAATGTCCGTCCGCCACCTGAGTCGTTGACAACTTTGCTTAATAACGGAAACCAAGTGATTTGGTAATGTTAGATGATATTACACATTACAGATGTGATATACATGGTTGTTAGGTGGTTTATTGATTGATTAGATAGTATTATTATCAATTAGATATTATTATTATGAATTAGATGGAAAAGTGATTGATTAGATGGCATATTGATTGATTAGACGGTATAATTATTGATTAGATGGAACAGTGATTGATAAGATAGTATATTGATTGATTAGATAGTATGTTGATTGATTGGATGATGTAGTGATTGATTATATTATATTTTGATCAGATGGCTGTGTGAAATGATTTATTGGCAAGATGGTCTATTATTCTATTTGATAACTTATCTATTGGTTGATTCATTAATTTATTAGAATTTAGCTTTATTTGATAAATTACTTTTGCTTTGATAATTTATTGTTTATTGCTTTATTTAAAAACATTGTGTTTTACTGACAACTTATTGTTGTTGTTTTTTTGATAACTTATTGTTTACTGTTTTATTTGATAACTTATTGATTGTTTTTGCTTTATTTCATATTTGGTATTGTTAGATAACTTACTACTTATATGGCTAATTAAATGGTTTACCCATCGTATAGGTTATTTATAGAGTGATTGCATAATTTATTTATGGTTAGATGGCTTATTGAATGTTTAGCAATTGGCTTGATTTATATGACATAGTTATTGGTTATCATTCCCATTATCATCCTTATCATTAGAATAATTCGTCAAAATCATCTTTCACATAACAGTTATCATTTATATGAGGACCCTCAGCCTCGTTGAAGAGGATCTACGGCATTCAAGGGAGCCATATTTTTTAAAAATTCAGGTAAATAACTCGTTCAATGAAAAAAAGGGGAAAATAATGCTTTTATTTTTTTTTTGCTATGAATACTGCTTCTCTTTATTGTTTTTCCTATCTCTGGAATCGATGTATTTACTTGGAAGCCTTTTATTTCGAATGTTTTCTCGAGGAACTGCAGGTCATTGTTGGTAGTGCATTGGTGGTTCACGGTAGGTAGTTCCTAGTAGGTAATTCATCGTAGGTAGCTCATGTTTGGTAGTTCCTGGTTGGTAGTTCCTGGTAGGTAGTTTCTAGTCTTGGTTCTGAAGTCTGATGTAAATTGAGTATATTTAGTAGACTCTAGTCACAATATATATAAAATATATATATATATATATATATATATATATATATATATATATATATATATATATATATATATATATATATATATATATATATATATATATATATACAGGCTTCATGTCCCCGATCAAACGTTGTTGTTGTTAAAGACTCGCTACCTGGAACAAACAGTTCCAAGTAACACGGGCTATAGTGAGCCCGCAGCGCCTACGATCAAACACATTATTACTTATTTACAAATCCGAGGTGTTCGGCTGACATTTGGCGTTGGCGTCAGTGCTCCTGGATCATCACAGTCTCTTCTGGAACGTCTTTAGCTGGAGAATCAGAAGTTCCTTCGGGAGAATGCTTTTCGGCGTAGTAGTTCCAGGACTGTACAGAACCAGAGGAGAAAACGAGGAAGAAGAGCTCGGTGACTACGTAAATTGGGACACACATCCAGAACACCTTCTGCCATTGACCCATCGTTTGCTGAGACGAGAAACAAGTGTCAGGTCAGAACACACACACAAAAATAACACAGTTACTATCATTTTTGCCAATTAACCGAGGTTTAACATTGATATTGTGTCAGATCTTATATATATATATTGCAAGATAAACATATTCCCACATATACCTGATCGTTGGTAATGGCCCCAACTGCCACAGGTGCGACGAAGGAGGCGGCTGCACCAAAGGTATTGCTTATCCCAAAGACAGTCCCTGTGTGGTGGATATATATATATATATATATATATATATATATATATATATATATATATATATATATATATATATATATATATATATATATATATATATTATATGTTAGAAAATTAACGAAAATTACCGGAAAATTATTTAAAATTAATTTAAAAAAGTAAAAAAAGGGTAACGTCTAGATGAACAGAGGTGAAAGAAACTGTATTCAAACGTCTTGTATTGAAAAAAATAAAAAATGTATTGGACGTCTCCGTCCAGCGTTGGTATCTTCTTGGTATCTTTCTGGTATCTTCTTGGTATCTTTCATTTGGGAACCGAATGCACTGACCACTGTGCTACAGGGCCATGTAGTCGTGTGGGTCCTGTGTGGTTGAGAGCCCTGTGTGGTTGAGAGTCCTGTGTGGTTGAGAGTCCTGTGTGGTTGAGAGCCCTGTGTGGTTGAGAGCCCTGTGTGGTTGAGAGTCCTGTGTGGTTGAGAGCCCTGTGTGGTTGAGAGTCCTGTGTGGTTGAGAGTCCTGTGTGGTTGAGAGTCCTGTGTGGTTGAGAATCCTGTGTGGTTGAGAGTCCTGTGTGGTTGAGAGCCCTGTGTGGTTGAGAGCCCTGTGTGGTTGAGAGTCCTGTGTGGTTGAGAGCCCTGTGTGGTATCAGAAGACGATGGCAGTCAGCCAGCGCAGAAGGCTGCTGACGCCAGCTGAAAGGCAGCATTAACCTCCACCCACCTGCGTAATTAGGAGCAATGTCATTCTGGTTGACGAGTTGACTGGTGGTGATGGCACCGTTGAGGAAGAGACTCAGACACAGCAGTGCCACCGCCACAGCCGCCTCACAGCCGGCGTGTGCCACCGCCAGCAGCCCAACAGCAGGACCCAGCATTGCTGTTGGTGTCAAGTACTCTCATCAGCAAAAAAAAAGTGGCTTTATTTCAACGTTGTGAAACACAGACTTTTCTAAATTTATTACAAACCATTTTCTATAGAACGATGTTTTATCAATAAATAAAAAATCAGTTACCTTAAGATCAAATTTTATCCCTAATCCTTCATTAGCGTCTTAAGTCTAAATCCGTTTCAGATTCAAGAAAATATAAAATTTAACAGAAGTGCTGCAAAGGTATTAGTCACTGTTATGACATCAAGACTAATATTGGTGTTAAAAATCAGTAAATCTAATGTTTTAACTAGTTTAATGGCTCGATGCTTTTTAAAAGGAAAAATACTGAAATCAAACATTTGCAAGAAATAAACCATTAAAAGATATCTTAGGAAACTATGACCTCTTTCACCATCTTCCACACAGCTTGGCGGAACTACCTAACTAGCCACATGAGTTACTTTGTAGTGTAAGACAGCTCCTTCCACGCCACAGTCTGAGGTAATGACTCCAGACTCTGTGGCTAAGCTGCTCTGAGTGACCAACTTTCCTCTGGCTGGTGGCATCATTCGAGTAAATAAGTATCAAAAGAAGATACCAAACCGGGAAGGTTATGTAGCACCATAGACATCACTCAAAAAAATATGTATTTTGTTTACAACGAATTATAATAATGATGATACCTGGAGTACAAGCCACAGATGTATGAATATCGACACTCTTAAGTTGTATATTTTCTCAACTAAGAACAGAAGAAGAGAGGCAAGAATTTGGGGGTTAGGACTACCTAGTAGTAGTAGTAGTAGTAGTAGGCATCCATCAGTCTCAGGAGACTATGGAGTTGCGCTCTGGTTGCCGGTCTGGAGTGGCCTCTCCAGGGCGCAAAGCCAGGGTAGGTTAGGTTGATTTGGGGGAGAAGCTGTTACTCAAGCAGCAGGTCCCCCCTCTCCACGGCGCTGAAAGTCTCCAATGGAAAGGCAAACGCCAATACGATTGGTTCCAGCGCCGTCGCAGGAACTGTGAGTTCCGTAAAATAAATGTGAAATAAATGTAAAATAAATGTCGTGAGGACTACCTATAGCACTGTATATCCTGCGGGCGTTAAGAATGGTGAGGTACCCTCGTCCTACCAGCCAGTCACCGCTGGAGCTGGAAATAACTGCCCCCACGTAACGCGACAGGAATGGCAGGCCTGACAATAGCCCATTCTGGGGGAAAAAAAAAAGTATATAAACACATTAAGCAAAGTTAGGATATTTGTAATTATTATTCATTGTTATCTAAGCCCCGGTTTACTTTGCAACAAGAAGCGGTGGTGTCAGGAGTTTACTGTTACTGAACGTGAACAATCAAACAGGAGTTTACTGTTGTTGACCAGACCACACACTAGAAGGTGAAGGGACGACGACGTTTCGGTCCGTCCTGGACCATCCTCAAGTCGATTGTCTGTCGACTTGAGAATGACAAGTCGAGTTTACTGTTGTAACTATTGAATGTAAACAATCAGATATGACTTTACTGTCGTACATATTGAATATTAACAATCAGGCAATATAAAGTTCAGATTTCCTTATTAATATGAGAGCTTAGTGTAGTCTTCAGAGACGAAGACTAGAACCAACTTTTTACTTTCAACCATCCCCAAAACCCAGAAGTTTGAAAACCTGCAAGGCATAAGTCCGAATACAAACTGAATACCCGCAAGACATACTGTCAGTACAGCTCTACCTTTCTTATAGAGAACCCGAGAACATTCTTCATGTAGGTGGGCAACTGGGTCACATAGACCGCAAGGCCGAAGCAGTTTCCTATGTCGCAAATGATGATGGCTAACACAGGCATGCTAGTGGTCATCTGCCGCCAGGGAACACGTCTTGATGGACTCCTCGTCACTCCACTCGCCGTTACAGTCGTTTCTATGTATTCCAACTCCTCCATGCTTATTCTGAAATGTAAAGATATTTTCTATCGAGCTCCATCGAATGCCTCCGCTGTCTTTACACCCTACTTTCACGGTTCGTTCTTACCTTGGGTGTTGCAGAGGGAAGTCGTGCATGAGTGGAAACCACAAGACACACCACACTAGCGCCAGTGTTCCCGTCAGGTAGAAGGTGGCGTCCCAGCCGAGGGTGTCGATGATGAGGGCGCAGAGAGGCAGGGTGAACGTCACGCTCAAGGAACTGGCTGTTCGCGAGGGCGTGGCGAGGAGTGCCAAGCCCAGTCATCGAAGAGACAGAGAGGGGAATATCGCATGAGTCGTCAGTGACTGGTAGAGGCGAGGATACAAGGATGCGGATGTGCAAGCACGCACGCACGCATGCACGCATGCATGCGTGCATGCATCCATGCACATACCTTGACTAGGTGGGAATACACCCACCCACATACACACGCACAACAAAACACGCGGACTACAGGGCCGGAATAATACTAAAAGAAGGAGCCAGTAATTGTGGCGGTGATATACACATTCCCCACCGAACACCAGAAGGCGGTCCAGACCACAGTATAACAACAATTCAATCTCGGGATTTTGATGACTGCATTGATTCCAAATATAAATGAAGAGCAAACAGAACACAAGAGGAGAAACCCCTGCAGAAAGCAACACTGGGAAGCTGTTTAAGCACTTACATAAATGAACCCATTACAATGAGTTATCGAAGGAGAATGATGAACATATCCGACTAAACCTGATTATCACCCTCTGTCTTTTCATAATTACTTGCTTGATTGTCAACTGATTGATTGATTGATGAAGATTAAACCACCCAAAAGGTGGCACGGGTAAGTGGTGGCCCTTTTGAGCCATTACCAGTATCAAGAGCTGATACTGGAGATCTGTGGAGGTGCGACTGCACCCTGCGTGACGGGAGATGTCTCCCGTCTGATTGTCAACATGAGAAAGCCATATATATAACAAAACAAAGCTCCCTAACACTCTTACGGGCTATTCATGCCCGTACCACCTCTTGGGGTAGAGGAGTAGAAATACCTTAAGCTACTCTATCCCTTTGAGATGTATTTTTTTTTCTTGTCTCAATAAACATACTTGAACTTGAACCTCTTAGGACGGCTTAATCTTTCTCAATCAATCCAAAGCAGCCAATTGAAGTCGGTAATCACTGACATCTGAACACTTAACGGAGGTAAGAACATTAAAGAGAAGAGGAGACTGACAGTCAGAAGAGAGAACTATGAAAGACTGAGATAATTAATATGATCGAATTGCACTTCTCTATTCCCCAACGTTCTGTGAATACAAATAATTACCACAGGAACACTAAGCCTAACCTAAGCCTAACTTTACACAAAACTTCAATAAATATTAATAGAGATTTTTTGTGTTTTACTATATACGATAAGAAAACAAATGACGAATACACCTTTTGCAACGGGCGCAGCTTGGGCGAACACAGCCTGAAGGGGGGAGTTGCATGTAGGGTAACATGGTACAGAGTGCATGTATATGCACTCCCCCATGTAGAGCATGGGAAAGTGCATATTGCAAAGCGATGCATATGTGCATCAAGTACCGTGAACACTCACACAAGATCACAATGGCGACGAATCTTGGACGCTCCAGTGGCGGGATCCAGCGGGCCACAAGACACTGCATGGCTGGCCACGACACGCCCTGCAACACTACAACTTATGACATATCAAGAATTACGAGAGCTCCAGCAAAACAAGTTATGACAGGTCAAGAAATACGTAACCTCCTGCACCACAAGTTATGAGCTTCAATGACTAACAAGCTTAAATTCTATCCCTTATTCCACATACATCTCAGTTGACCAGACCACACACTAGAAGGTGAAGGGACTACGACGTTTCGGTTTGTCCTGGATCATTCTCAAGTCGTGTACATCTCGGTTTACAATCCCTCGATACTACTTACGCTACAGAGACCCAGGACGACCCGGATGGCGATGAGGGCTCCGTAGTGGGCGCGGGCGGCTATGGGCGTCACAAGAGTCCAGATGGCGCTTATGAAGATGCAGCCTCCGAGGACTCGTTTTGTACCGTAGATCTCCGCCAGGCGGCCACCGATAATCTGGTGGTGCCAGAGACGCGAGGGATAGAGAAAAAGAGGAGAGAGAGAGAAGGGGAAAGGATAAAAAGATAGGATATAAAAGGGGAAAAACTGAAGCAAGGAAGAGGAACAGATTGAAAGGTTAGGGGAGGGGAAGGAATACGAAAGGGAGGGTCTAGGAAGTATGGGGAATGAGAGAGAGAAGAGTGACAGAAGGGAAGGTGTAGAAAATGTCGGGGAAAAACTTTTACGTTATCCACAGTGAGGAGGTTTCCTGTAATTGTAATACATGTGTCACTCATGTGTTTAAATCTGCTATAATACATGTGTCACTCATGTGTTCACATCTGCTGTAATACATGTGCTCCTCTCGTGTATAAACATATCTATTACTAATCATAAACATATTCCTCTGTCTATATATGTAGTGTACAGTGTACATATGCACAACGCATAGACGTAGTTTCCATCAGAGTAAGAATGGAATAATTATTAACGTGAATTAAGCCACCTAGAACCAATCCTGGTCATTGGAATACTTGCAGACATTTAATCCTAAATAAATCCTATAATGGATATATAAATCCCAAGGGAGACATTACTGAGCACTCACCGACTATACGAAATAAACATTATGATTTATGCTGGCACAAGTATGGCACATTCTACTTGAAGGAAAACAGATGTCAACCCAAATTAGTTTATCTTTCGTCTGAATTGAAGAACTCCTATGCCCTTTTTCTTATTGAGAACTCTAAAAGTTGTCCAGAAAAGGTCTAATTTACGTGAAGACCAATGAGATCTCGGAAAGTTCGACCAATGAAATCTCAAAAAGGTCTGACCAATGAATTCTCAGGAAGGTCTGACAATGAAATCTCAGGAAGGTCTGACCAATGAGCCCTCAGGAAGGTCTGACCAATGAAATCTCAGGAAGGTCCGACCAATGAGCTCTCAGGAAGGTCTGACCAATGAAATCTCAGGAAGGTCCGACCAATGAGCTTTCAGGAAGGTCTGACCAATGAGCTCTCAGGAAGGCCCGACCAATGAGCTCTCAGGAAGGTCCGACCAATGAGATCTGAGGAAGGTCTGACCAATGAGCTCTCAGGAAGGCCCGACCAATGAGCTCTCAGGAAGGTCCGACCAATGAGATCTGAGGTAATACGTCAGGTAGACCAGAAGACGTGATCTACGAGACGTAGCGGAGGCTGGACCTGCGTGCAGGCGTAGCCGTAGTAGTAGCTGGCTAAGATGACTCCTTGCGTCAGGGCGTCCCAGTCCATCTCCCCGTCCACTTCCTCTTCACGCTCCTCCTGCAAGAAAGACGAGGATTAATCACACCTGTGACACCTGGTATAGTAACACCAGGTGTTATATATATATATAGCCTCGTAAGAGCCCAATAGGGTCTCTGTAGATTCCTTCGTTCTTCTGTTCTAATGTATTTTTTTATGATTTCCGTTGTCGAAGATATATATCATGTACTTAGGCTTATACAGATCCCCCCCCCCACTAGTCCATCTACTGTCCCCCACAATGCAACCAACAAAAATACCCTATCTCTCGGGTACCTATTTAACTACAAGGTGAAGAGAGACGTCAGGTGAAAGGGAATGCACCCAAATGTTTCTGTCCTGCTCAGGGACTGAACGTGAGTCCCTCGACTGTGAACAAAGAGCGCAGACCCTTGTGTGTTTGTCTTGGCACAGTCGATTAAGGGGGCGTCTAGGATCCCCTTGGACGTAGGTTCGAACCCTCGTCATGGCCCTTGTGGATTTGTTCACATCTGTGTGTGTGTGTCTCGGTCACCACACAATCCTAACACACAGAGGGTTTAAGGTCCAATTCCCCATAAGGACGCAATTTTCAAATTTGATCTTAAGCTAATATACAGAAAATACTCACCCCCAGCTTACACCCCAAAGTCTAGGGTGACCCTCCCCTCACCCCCCAGGCTCACGCCTAAACCCCCGGACCATGATATGCTCAAACGTTAAACATCCTGGACCCAGATTCACGAAGCAGTTACGCAAGTACTTACGCACGTGTACATCTTTTTTCAATCTTTGACGCCTTTGGTTACATTTATTAAACTGTTTACAAGCATGAAAACTTGCCAATCAACTGTTGTTATTGTTATAAACAGCCTCCTGGTGCTTCGGAGCTCATTAACTGTTTAATAATTGTAAACAAAGCCGCCGAAGATTGAGAAAAGATGTACAGGTTCGTAAGTGCTGGCGTAAGTGCTGGCGTTATCTTGATTTCGGGGCTTTTTAGTGTCCCCGCGGCCCGGTCCTCGACCAGGCCTCCACCCCCAGGAAGCAGCTCGTGACAGCTGACTAACACCCAGGTACCTATTTTACTGCTAGGTAACATGGGCATAGGGTGAAAGAAACTCTGCCCAGTGTTTCTCGCCGGCGCCTGGGATCGAACCCAGGACCACAGGATCACAAGTCCAACGTGCTGTCCGCTTGGCCGACCGGCTCCCGTGCCCTAAACCTTTTTCATAAAAACAAAACCGATTGACAAAAGTCCTGGGAGTGGAACCTGAGTTCCTCTGGAGAGTTCCTCTGGAGCTCTGGAGAGCTACTCACCAGTAGAGTGAGAGAACATGAGTAAGGGAAGAACTACTCACCAGGTGTGTGGTAGAATTCCCCTCTCCAGCCACCACCCCAACACCTGTTAAACAAACAAGCAAACATTAGCAACCCTACAAAAAACAAACATTATCTCTTATCACCAAATACCAACTGGCTTTACATGCACCATCCTTAATTATAACTAATTATTTTTTTTTTGGGGGGGGGGGAATTTAGGCACTATATACAAACCTGGTTAATTTGGATAAGTGTATTTAGTATGGAATCGAAAAGGAAGTGTATTTTATTATTTTATTTTTATTATTTTTATTTAAGGAAGTATCATTTTCGACGGAGGTGGACGGCATCTGGGTCAATAATGAAGTACTTAAACATGACAGTACACGGAGAAGACCCAAAGTACCTGGAACGGAAATAAAGTACCTGGGAAAAGAGCAAAGTACCTGGGCGAGGAATAAAGTACCTAGGAAGGGAATAAATTACCTGAGAGAGGAATAAAGCACCTGGAAAGAGAATAAAGTATCTTGGGAGTACTTTAATTTGTAAATTGAATTTATTTAATTTTTTTAATTTAATAATTTATTTAATTTATTTAATTTAAAGTACTTGGGAGTAAAGTACCTACTTGGGAGAAGAATAAAACTCCTGGGAAGGGAATAAAAGTACCCGGGTGGGAAAATACAAAGTTCATTTGCCTGTGCTGGTCCAATATAAAAAAAAATCATTTTCACACACCGTCTACGGTTTCTGGTCTCTTGTAGATTGATTTAACAGCCTTCTCATTCCTGGCAAATTTGTCGTACATCTCTGTGGTGCAACAAATATTTCAGTAACCAAATTGCTTAAAAAATTATCACTATAAATCATTGCCGAGGACACATTCCAACGCCGCGTGGTTATGTTAATCCCCCAGCAATAATAAAATGATATTTTATTCATAAAATTTGCCTAGCATAGTGAACTAATGATATATATATTGTATACGGTTTTGACAGCCTAACTTGTACGAACCGCCCTGTGTACGATTTGCCCATAGCTTTCGAAGGCGTTTAGAGTTCGGGGCGTAGGGGAAGCAGAGGGTAGGGAGGCGGGTGGGGGCGAGTTGTTGGAGAGGAGGAGGGTGCTGAGGGTAGGTTGGGTAAGTTGGGGAGTGCAGAGGGGGTGGGGGAGGGATGTAGAGGGGTGGGGGGAGGGATGTAGAGTGTCTGGGAAGGAGTACTGTGCCAGAGGTGTATGGGAGTCAAGTACCTTGAGTAAGGACGAGGCATTCGGCATTCGAGGCGACGGTAGCGCTGTTATTTCGACGTACCATGGCAACAATGGCGACGGAGAGGTTGACACGAAGCATGTAAATAGTGACACTAGCCAGGAACACCAGGCCGCCCACCACAAACCTTGCCGGCACACGTCCTGTGGATGGGTCCTCTGTCAGTCTACAGACACTCTGACATTGGCGCAGACACAATGACGCGTCGGAAGGCAGTACCGACGATTAGAAAGGCGGGGGTCCAAGAGCTAACATCTCGACCCTGAAGACACAAATAATAATTTCGCACCAACACACACATACTCACCCTACTATCTCGTAGGCCCACCACTATCTCACAGGCCCTAGGCACTGTGCCTACCATGACTAATAAATACTCAGGCACTGCCAACACTCACACACTGTGGGAAGTAACACCCTTACACACACCTGTGGAAGTGTTTCCTCAACACACACACACCTGTGGAAGTGTTTCCTCAACACACACACACACCTGTGGAAGTGTTTCCTCAACACACACACACACCTGTGGAAGTGTTTCCTCAACACACACACCTGTGGAAGTGTTTCCTCAACACACACACCTGTGGAAGTGTTTCCTCAACACACACCTGTGGAAGTGTTTCCTCAACACACACCTGTGGAAGTGTTCCCTCAACACACTAACACACCTGGAAAGCACTCCACCAGTCAAGCACCATAATATAAACAACAACAACAATGTAAACAAAAAACAGCTGATCCTTACCAAAGATGGACATCGCCTTGTAGTTCACTTGGCTTCTCTCCATTCCGACTGAAAGAACAAAAATGCATCAAAGACGTCATCTGTCTTAACTACCCGACAGGTGCCGAAATGTCCAATTACAAGCACACTTTATATTCTACACAACACAAAGTGCAAATAAGTTACTTAATGTTCATTGGATTCTAGTTTGGGGACGCAAACCCCATAAGAATTGTGTAAACAAAACAAAGCCACTGGGATGAACAAAGTCACTGGGATGAATAAAGCCACTGGGATGAACAACGCCACTGGGATGAACAACGCCACTGGGATAAACAAAGCCACTGTGATGAACCAAGCCACTGGGACGCACTAAGCCACTGGGGACGAATCTTGTTTGTTCGTTCTGCAGGATGTAACCATTTATATAAGTTGTGAGGGCGCAGAGATGAGAGGCACTGAGTCTAGAGAGAGAGAGTTCACTCCCAACCATAAACCACCCAGCTCAGAGCGAGCAGATCTTACCGACAAAAACCAACGACGTGAGGGAATAATCTCCGAAGTCAAATGATAAACTTGGATGCAGAATATAAATACAAAATTATATACAAAGAAAAGTTAAAATATCCTGGTTAACTGTGGAGCCGAGAGCGTCGTACGTCCTCTCTCTTCACTGACTTTAGGAACACTGTCCTAATGATCACTGATTCCTCCAGTCATTGGTCCCTATATTCTGCCTGCCTGCCGCTCTCAGCATGACGAAGACATCTGTCTTAGCAACTAATAGCTGCACTATCTGTATCATTGTTTTTATCCAACTCCTACAATCATCATTACCTCACCTGTTACAATACCACAATCAATCATTACAATACCACAGTCAATCATTACAATACCACAGTCAATCATTACAATACCACAGTCAATCATTACAATACCAGTCAATCATTACAATACCACAATCAATCATTACAATACCACAGTCAATCATTACAATACCACAGTCAATCATTACAATACCACAATCAATCATTACAATACCACAGTCAATCATAACATTACTCATCCTTCTTTGAGTCATACTCACCCATAATCAGCATGAAGGACTGCCAGGGGAATAGCTTATTAATGTTTACAATGTATAAAATTATGCAATGAGGTTTATATTAGGTTGTACCTGTATTTTGCTGCTGCTGTTATATAACAGTAATTAACGTAAAGACACTGTTGGTTATCAGTTTTCTGAAGTCAATATCAAATCTGCTGGAGTATGGAGGAGTAATATGAATCTTTTTTTGTTTAATTGCAATGGACTGTTTTGAATTCATTCTGGAGTATAAAGGGTCGATTTTTTTTTTTTTATTTGGGGGGGGGTGGTTATGTACAGTATTGAATTCATGTTGGAGTAACATGGATTTTTTTTTTTTGCCGATGTACAGTATTGAATTTGCCAGGTGAGTGACAGCGCTTCGGATTCATAGTCCTGTGGTTTCGGGTTCGATCCTCAGTGGAGGCGGAAACAAATGGGCAGTTGTTTTCACCCCGATGCTCCTGTTCATCTAGCAGTAGATAAGTACCTAGGAGTTAGACAGCTGCTACGGGCTGCTTTCCTGGGAGTGTGTAACAAAAAGGAATCCTGGTCGAGGACCGGGCCGCGGGGACGCTAAGCCCCAAAATCGTCTCAAGATTACCTCATGAAGATTATGGTCTATGTGACTTTTGCCCAGTTGCACATTTCAAAACATACTACATTGCAGATTTTATCTGGATTTACCTGAAAGGGTTTAGGAATTTGTTCTACTCCCCAAACCCAGCCTGGGGCCAGGTTTGTCTTGTGATAACTAGGTCCAACAGGCTGTTACTCGGAGTGGTTTCCCAGGCCGACATATCCACTACAACCCAGTTATTCCGGCACGTCTTGCAGAAATTGAATATGATCACTTATGAAAAGTAACTTATATTGACATTTGTACAATAACTACTGTTATCTTGACCAGACCACACACTAGAAGTTGAAGGGACGACGACGTTTCGGTCCGTCCTGGACCATTCTCAAGTCGAAGAATGCTTCAGCCACGTTATTGTGACTCATCGCCTGCATACTGTTATCTTCCTTTAAATAACTAACTATAAATGTGTATAATTCATTTATCAACTCTCTAAATATCTTGAGAATAATATTCTTCTAAAAAAGATAACAGATAGATATAGTAACTAGAACACATTTGTGTGTAAGGTTATTAATACATCACATTTTCATATTTTGAACCATAAGGAAGCTCACAAAAACACATCAAGTTAAAATATTATCCTTCAAATACAGTTTATCAGAAAATGTGTGAATACAAATGAATTGCCAATATTAATGTTAATTACTTATTAAAGGATTGCAAAAATGGACCTAATTATTAATATACCACACCCCCCATTAGCTCAATAAAGAGCTAAATTAATTACAAAATAAAACAAACAAACCTGAGAGTACTGCCCTCATCGTGCCCCAAGCCAAACCTCCATTGGCCAAGCACAACTTGTTAAAGCAAGACATGCCATTAAGTTTTCTCGCCCGTTACCCAAGCAATGTTTAACATGGCTCAATTATCTCAAAATAACTTGCAACCAATACTGCCTTATTTATTGGACCTCAATCTCATTTACTAAGTACCAAAGGAGGAGAAAATGTCCCTATTCAACAAGACACACCACCACCGGCTATAGCTACCAGCGGAGACTTGAGGCTTACAGATTCGCAAAACATCAGCTGCGAATCAGATAAGCTTGACATTGTTGAATTGTGTAGGTTGCTGATATCAGTGTCTTGGTAATTTTGACATAACCTAGCTGTGATTCTCATTATGAAGTAAATAAACAATATGAGACCAGCAAAACTAAAAGTTTCACTAACAAAAATCTAGTTGACAGGATTCATGTGACAAGTAAGTTTCTAACATTTTTCCTACCCAGAAATAAAGGATGCAGGTTTTGACGTAACAGGAAGTCACCCATGACAATCTTCTTTGTATTCTTCAAAGTTAAAACATTGTTCAACATTTTCTGAGAATGATAAATGCTTCATGTGTGCTTCCTCACATAAACGAAGCTACTAGATGAACAATGCTTTCTCTCATTTAAAAAGTTCTTCATAACACACAAATCATAACTTCATGTTACCAACTCCCCAATAAAAAATAAGTTGTTTTATTAAGGAACAAAAACAGCAATGCATTACAATTGTTATATTGGTCACAAAAATTCCCAGATGGAATGGAATGGGAAAGTTACAAGAATTCTGTTATCTGCCTAATCCGGTGTCGCAGGTTTCCTGGTCAATCAACATGTTCAAGCAAACATATTCAGCCAACATGTCAGCCTGGCTGTCAGACTGTCAGTGAATCACAATTCAGAACATGGCATAACGGCCCGGCTTATTTAAAATGTCTTTTTCAGGAATTTATCTGTGTTTAAAATCAGTTTGAGATTAGTTGGTAATGCACATTTCATTTGAAAATTATCATAGTTTTTTGCTGCTTTAGCATCATACTGGTACCTTATTATACAAGGAAAGTAATGCAATTAACATTGTTCAAAAATATTTATTAATACATAGCGTGTCTGCTAAATACCATTACATTAAAAATTGTGCACAATTATAGGCCATTAATACTACTGGATTTCCCTTTATTTATGCATGTAGTATACTTCTTTCTTAATTCAGTTCCATTAAATGATGTATAAAAATATATAATGCAAGTTGTTTTATTATTCAGATTGCCTACACTTTTCAAACCAAAGCACTTTATAATATGCTTTAATAAGTCTACAAAATTATGAATATTGTAATTTTAAAAAGAAATGACACCTGTCACATAAATGTCTTAGAAGTATCACATTTACCATCAAGAACCTATCTAAGATTGTAAAAAAAAATATACTTCATTTTGCACCTTTAAACTAAAGGGACTGACAAGCAAATACTGCAGGTATAATACCTTCAGCTTAATTTGACTTGTGAAAATTGACAACCATGACATGTTTTATCTATGAAGATTAAAGATATTCATTGAATTTTAGTGTACATCATATTAAATATAAAGAATAATTTCTTTTTGGCCGAGGAATCATATAGTGATGCTGTGTGCATCCCCCAGTCAGTCAGATTAAGTACCACTGGCACAGGCCAGCTACTGAATTGCCAACCACATTGCTCATACCTTGTCCTCAGCTAGCAAAACCTTAGCCAGTGAAGGGCCCAATAATTTCAATCTGCAGACTTGAACTATGATCGAGCTATTTCATGCCTTTGGACTTTATACCACATGTAAAGTAAATAATTCTCAAAAGAATGTACTAAACCAGGAAGACAGTGTAGCACCTTGTATCAATTTTCTTTTCTTAACTCTTCTTTCTCTACTAGCAATGGGTAAACTTGAATGCCACTTAACTGTATATATTAAATATCATCCACAAAGGCAATGTCCACTCTGATCAATATAGCATCCATAAAGGATGAAATAAACACAACTTCCATTGCCATCTATATATTACTAGGATGAGAAAAGTCAAGGTTCATATTGTGTCAATATCAAATATAACTTGGTTGCTTGTAAACAGTACCTAAAAAAAAAAAAAAAAGTTGCAAAAAATTTTGATCAATAATGATAGGCAATGCACAGACTAGGGTTCAGATTCACGAAGCAGTTACGCAAGTACTTACGAACGTGTACATCTTTCCTCAATCTCTGTCGCCTTTGGTTACATTTATTAAACAGTTTACAAGCATAAAAAGTTCCCAATCAACTGTTGTTATTGTTGTAAACAGCCACCTGGTGCTTCGGAGCTCATTAGCTGTTTAATAACTGTAAACAAAGCCGCCAAAGATTGAGAAAAGATGGACAGGTTCGCAAGTGCTTGCGTAACTGCTTCGTGAATCTGGCCCCAGGTTATCCAGTGAAAGGCACCACCCCTGTGAAATATATCTTAGTTAAAGGCAAATGACTACATTTAATGGTATCTGTAAGTGGTGAGATTTGGTCATTTATTTCATTTACTACATTACACCATTCTCTTACATTTTTTTACCTTAGTTTAAGTCATAGGTATGGGCATGGTAATAAGTGCTTGGAAATCCATAATACAATGCACAATTTTCAAACGTTTTGCTCAGTTCATGTTTACTAGGTATTAGTAGCATAACCAGCAATAAAATTGGTATGTTTAATCTTTGATCTTTATCACCTCGACAGTTCGGCAAGTAGTCAGACTTCTTAGACCTCTTAAGTATGTAATCATAAGGCTGTTACTACTTGCAGTCTTCAGATCAATACAGGTAACAACCTGGGGCTAGATTCACCAAGAAGTTATGCAAACACTTACGAACCTGAACATCTTTTCTCAATCTTTGGCGGCTTTGTTTACAATTATTAAACAGTTAATGAGCTCCGAAGCACCAGGAGGCTGTTTATAACAATAACAACAGTAGATTGGCCAGTTTTCATGCTTGTAAACTGTTTAATAAATGTAACCAAAGCCGTCAAAGATTGAGGAAAGATGTACACATTCGTAAGTACTTGCATAACTGCTTAGTGATTCTGGCCCCAGGCTGATAAGGCACTGTCATAAGAAAACTGTCATCTTACATTTTGAAGTTGCAATGCAGCTTATGGAAAAAGAGTAAAATATGTGGAATTAATATTTTCTAATGACTTAAATCCTTTGGCTATGATTTATAATTGACAGATATCAGAAATATTGCTTGTTCCAATATTTGAAGTCTGCATATTGGAACAAGCAATATTTCTGATATCTGTCAATTATAAATCATAGCCAAAGGATTTAAGTCATTAGAAAATATAAATTCCACACATTTTACTCTTTTTCCCATAAGCTGCATTGTATAAACAAATGCTAGAATTAATCAATTCACAGCAATCTGACATAAAGATCTTGATTTTTGTTAAAAAGAACACGTTAATAAAAATGCACTTGCATAGTCTCTCAAAAGACAAATTAGCATTAAAACTGAATTACTCAACAAAGATCTATTTGTCTATGTAAAAATACAAGGTCTGATAATGATGGTAATGAAGTCCACTCCTACAGCTAATTCAGAAATTTGAATCAACTATCTTTCCAGTACACTGCTTGTACAACATAAACTTTTCAAAAATATAACACAGTATTTGGCTATGTGAAAACAATATAAGAGATTTTCTATTCTCGAAACATTATTGTTAAAGCTAGTACTAGGTATCACAGCCCCGGGACAGTGCTAGTGTGCCTCATTCTGAGAATGGGAAGCGGTAGAATCACGGTTTTTATCAATTAAAAACTTTTTGTTGACACTTTTAATATTTATTTTTAACAGTTTCTCGTGTTGCTGAATGTAGCTATAATTGAACATCACACATTTAAATAGGAATCCTTTGTTAAAAGAAAAATTACTTAATTGAAAATTTCCACAGTAAAAAAATCCACCAATATAATGTTAAGAATAAGAAACAAGATCCTCCTAAGTTCCTAATTGAGATTAATAATGAGTTCCTAATAATGAAATTAATTTCTAATAAAGCCTCCATGACATTATTATTTAGTTCATGTATTCTTTACATGTTGTAAAGGGTGAGGAGGAGGAGGAATACATACCACTGAAAATGAACTTTCAGCTAAACATGAACACACACCATCACTTGCGCAACTTCCTAGTTTGTGCTTGTCGAAGACCCTGATAATACCCAGTATGGTAACCTGTCATGTACCAGCTCATCAACATGGTGTGGAGCGCTTCAGAAGTCTGAGGATCACTCGTCAGGTCCATCGTAAGAGCTGGTGGGGGCGGAAGGTGTGGCAGGTGAGGCTGAAAGTGGTAAATATGTCACTATCAACAATGTAACTCAAAACAAGTAAATATGTCACTATAAACAAATAAAATGTCACTATAAACAAATAAAATGTCACTATAAACAAATAAAATGTCACTATTAACAAAGGAAATATTTCACTCTAAGCAAAATGCACTCCTCCTAATAGGGAAATGCACAAATGAAACGTCGGCTCAAAGTTTGCAGACGACTAATAGTGCCAAGCAATAAAAGATACAGTACTGTATTTGAAATTTATATATTTGTTATTATTTGGCAGCAATATAGCTATACAGTGTTTTGTTTGATTTATACTTACTGGTGGTGCAAACTGACTTCCACCTGTTGGAAAATTTGGTGGTGGCATCTGTGGAGAACAGAGAATTACAATTTGAATATACAGTATTGTACTTTTGAATTTCATCTCATTCTCGCTCACTCAAGTTGCTCTTATAATCTTTGCCCTATTACATTCTGCATTTACACTTCACTTAAGCTTATTTCACATAAACCTAGCACATTAAACATTCCATTTTCACAAATGTTTTATACCTTACAACATGAACAAGAAAAAGAAGCTACTTTTACCTAAAAAAAAGTAAAATGCCTCTGATATACATGAAGTAATAATGTTTGATTCCCAGCAATGAAATGTGCAATATATGAAGTATGAAGAATTGGCATTTGGAAGACTCAACATGCCACTCAGTGTTCACAGTACATATTGCATTACTTTACCCCTTTATCCAATCATGAATTAAATTACTGGGTTAAATCAAATATATAGGCTTGATAACTCAAGCCAAGAGTGCACAAATTTGAATTATGTAACTTGTAAATGAGAAGTGTACAGTACCGATCCTGACTGAGAACGATGCGTATGGGGTGCTCTGTGTCTTTTGTGGGTGCGCTCAACATCTGTGTCAGATTGCATGTCGCTCTCGATCACAGAACTACCCAAGTCACTTTGCTGGAAATTAAACAGATATAATTAAGACAATTGGTTTTCCAGACCACACACTAGAAGGTGACGGGACGACGACGTTTCGGTCCGTCCTGGACCATTCTCAAGTCGTTTGTGACTTGAGAGTGGTCCAGGACGGACCAAAACGTCGTCGTCCCTTCACCTTCTAGTGTGTGGTCTGGTCAACATACTTCAGCCATGTTATTGTGACATCACCTGCAATTGGTTTTTCACTTACAGTACTACTATAGCTATAGTAGAGTACAAAATACTAGTTAAAAGAACAAAATTGTAACCAAGATCTATATGTATATTTTTTAATAAGCATAATCAGAAAACAAGAGTGATTTTGATCCTATAGATAAATCTACATTTTGAGAAACTAAATAGACTGTACAAAATATCAACAGATTTGCCTAAATATTAGCCGTGTTTCATTTAACAGTAAACAGTGACAATGTTTCAACCAGTTTCTCTAACTAAATCTGTTAGTAGTACATTTTGAATTAAGAATTTTTGTAGTACTCTTCTAGTTCTACACAGTGATGTCATCCTTGAGACCCAATGTAAAATGGATTATAGATATATATTAAGAGAAAAAATTTTGTATTTCAGAACAAACACGCCCAGGCAGGGCAAGACATACGGGTGAGTCTCCTAACACCCGTTGCCTCTGTTCACCTAGCAGTGATTAGGAACCAGGTTTAAATCAACTGTTGTGGGTCGTATCCTGGGCAATGGTGCCTGACAGCTAAATGGACAGCACTCGGGATTCGCGGTCCTAAAGTTCTGGGTTCGATCCCCGGCGGAGGCAGAAACAAATGGGCAGAGTTTCTTTCACCATGATGCCCCTGTTTACCTTGCAGGTAGACAGTTGCTACGGGCTGCTTCCTAGGGATGTGTAACAAACAGGAGGCCTGGTCGAGGGACCGGGCCACGGGGACGCTAAGCCCCGAAATCATCTCAAGAAGGAAGAAGATGGTTAAATGCTGCATATATCCCAGGTATACTCGAATTTGCCACAAACACTGCAAGGCACAGCACGAGACAAAATACCTGTAAGGCTACACATGAAACATACTACACAACGAAATTAGAGCAGCAAGGCCACTGCAAAGACTGGGTTCAAACATTGTAACTGCTAATTAATAAAAATGCAAGTACTGCAATATGTGTACAGTACAGTACATTGAAATTTTAAGGCTTTAAAATACAATAATTTACAAAATTCAATGCTTAACTGTGTAATATTAAAGTTCTTAACAATAGAGTAAGCTACTGCAGTGGTGCTTGTGCATGCAGACCACAGCAAGTTCCAGCATGGCAATAATTTCAATTACTGCAGTGTCTATGCAATAGTGCACTCATTGTGAACGTTATTGTGTGGACTCCTGAAATTGCATAGATGAATAATAAGGAACAATTGATTTGTGATGTATGGAAGTTTACGAGCTCCACTGGTATTGCTATTATGATAATGAAGGGAGCTCATTCCTCACCGGTCTAGGATTCAAGCATCCAATCATTCCTTAAGGTAAGCAAATGACACTCCACTTGAGAGAAACGAGGGGTAAATCCCACTTCATTGGCATGATGTTTACATTTGGTCGAGGCCTATGCAATGGGGAAAGGCAGATGCAAGCAGCCCCTCTGTAGTGCAATTAGCTTTGTTTTTGACTCTCAGTCGTTAATACTGGATTTGATTCCTGGGCAGGACAGAATTGGTGAAGCACATTTCTTTTAGTGTCTTAGGAAGGATCAATAGTTTCATCTTAGGGGGACCTCAATACAAGCCTAAATTTTATTTGAGGAAGAGGAAGCAAAGGCTTCCCCTCCCCGACAAAATGAATTATAAAAGTTAAATGCTGGGGAATCTCCATTCACACTTATTTTACACTCTAAAGGTTGAGTAATCCCAAAGATCTTATACTTTTTTTTTAATATACAGTACAATTCTTACATTCTTGTAAAGCCACTAGCATGCATAGCGTTTCGGCAAGTCCTTAATCCAAATTTTTTCCCCGGAATACGACCCGCCAAATCGTTTAATAACCACGTACCCATTCACTGCTGGGTGAACAGAGGCTACAGTTAAGAATTGGCACCCGGCCAATCCTTCCTGGCTAGGATACGAACCGCAGGCTAAAGCGCTCGCAAAGCGCTGGGCGAGTGCTTTACCACTATGCCACGAGGACTGCTAGGAGACTCTCGGCATTAAACCTCTTAAAAACTTAATCGCTGACTATCACTTATGACTTTACCTTCATTGCTCTGAATCATCTCATTTCAGTCCCTACAGTTCAACAGAAACTTCACATGGACAGCAGAAATAAAATATAAAAACTGCATGCAGTTTTGACTTTTTTGTTTACTTATTTTCATATTATAGTGAGATAACTATTTTAAAAAACATACATCATCAAATTCTGTATTACCTCCGACTGCCCATCATCAGCAATATCTCTCTGTCTATGACGAGCTGCTTCTCCTTTAGATTTTGCAAGTGTATGCAATGGTACCTCTTCTTCATTGTTATACCCTACATACCGGACAGTGCATGAACCACCCTCAGAGTTCACAGCAATGACTGTTCCCTCATACCAGATCCCATCACCACTGTACTGGCAACGACAGGCATCTCCTACATTCCACTGAAATTTAAAACATGTCAGTAGTATTAAAATCAAACACATTATACATATTCAAACATATTTACACACAAACATAGGTCTTATGCAACAAAATTATAATAATAATAATATAATAATGTGTATTCAGGTAAAAGTACATACATACATACATACAAAATGAGTTACAAACAGAATGGTGGATTTCTAGATAGCGCTAGTATAATATACTATACTAACAATCAATAATTTATACCAGTATTCATATAAATGCCAAAACATGCTTGGACCTATACATCCGAGTTACCACGCAAGGCAAATGGCCAGCAATAAATACCCCTCTCTTAAGAACCCACCAAGAAAAACATGCTCGAGTAATGTTTAAACAACACTGCATCAATGTTTTCAATATTATATTAATGTCATTTGGTCACATTTGCCCAGGAGAAAGTAACATGATAGTCTTTCATTCTTTGCTCCTAGAAGTCATTTCATATTGACCACAATGTGTCACCTACATCAGGCCAAGAGATAAATATATATATATATATCAAACAGCAAATTAACCACAAAGGCTGGTAGAGAAGATAACATGCTATAAAATAGAAAGTATTAACAAAAATCATACGTCAGTCTTTTTTTTGTTCCTCTTCTTTTTCTTCTTCTTGGCAACATTGGCACCCTGACTCTTGTTTTCAGAAAGATGTTCCACAGTTTTCTGTAGTAATTCTGTAGACTGTTCACTTTCGGTTGTGTTTGTGCCCGATAACCTTCGATGTAGCTTTTGTCGCACCTGGGCCATAGCCTGATCGTACTGCTGGATCAATAAAGTATCATCCCATATCTCATCGTGTGTGGCATTCTCCTGAAAAAAAAAATGTGTCAAACAGTCTGCACTTTTGTAGTAAAATTTCCATAAAAGAATGAGTAAATAATATTGCCTAACCTAATTTAACTTAGGCTAACCTGACAATGTGGTTTCACTCAAAATGCACAAATTCCTGCATTTTCCCAAACTATGTTCAATATCTGCTTCACTTCAAGAAGCTAATAATATGCAACTGCTGAGAGAACTGTGCGTCTGTAATTATCGTGGCATTCACAATAATACCCCACAACACTATACAGCCTACGCGATGTCACAATAAGGACCCAATATCTAATGTTTACTGAACGAAACATTTATTTTTATCGAAAAGCTATATAACAAGCTATATATAAGTTCCTCGACTGTTCCACAGCCGAGGAACCCGGATTCACTCCCACGGCAGAATTGAAAAGGTTGGGTATGTTTCCTTTCATCTGATGCATGTATTCACCTAACAGTAAACCAGGCACCTGTTGTGGGTTGCAGTGATGTGCAGTTGGCTAGAGTTTATCTTTCATCCATAATGATTATATTTAATGATCGATTCATCTCGGTGAAAATCATATTCATATAAAAATCAAAATCTTGTGTGGTGGATGATGGCAAGTCAGGTTAAAGTGTGTTGGGTCTGGCCAGAAATTGGATTGCTGAGCACGTGGCCAGCCTCGCCCTTAATAATGAATAATCGCAATAAGCGTAACCGGCTTCCTGTCCCCAACACTGATGCCTCAGCAATTAATCAGCGCCAAGGGAATTATTCTGCTGGCCTCAGCAAGATAGTCGCCCCTGATTTAGACCTCGTAGGACCCGTCGGGCCATAATTACCTCACGTCACACACACTGCTCTGTAAGGTTCTGTAAGAATCAGCCCTTAAATATAGAAATAATGAATTATTCACCGAATCATTGGCGTTGTAAAGGAGCGGACCGCTGCTATCCGACGCCATCTGTCCTCCTCGAGGGTAGCCACAACACTGCCGCACCACAAGCCTAAACTCTCTTACTCTCCACCATCTCATGTATTAGGAAATGTATATGTTTATCTCTCAGAATGTTTGGTAATATGTTTATTGTTTGTAATGTGTGTCTATGTATGTATTAACACGTTATACTGAACGGGGGTGAGAATAGCTTGAGCTACCTCATCCCTTTGTGTGTATTTTACCTCAATAAACTTATTTCAATTTCAATTTCATGTATGACTAATCTAGTAGAAACTGGTAAGAGTAATTGTAATATAATGTTTCAAATACGCCAAGAATTGAAACATTAAATCTTGGTGATTTATGATTCAATGATCAATGATTCAATGCTTAGCTCTTGTAAAATTCGTGAAGTTGTTGTTTAATCACAGTTGAATTGTTGTTTTTTTTATTGAGGCAAGTATTTTTCCTCCTCTGATTCCATGTATAACTAACCATCCTGTGAGATGGGAATATTAGATGAACTTATAGCTAGTTTTATATACACTGTGTAATCTTTCATATAGAATAGGGCAGCAGCACATTGCTGTGTATACCTAAGCCTGTTAATAGAAAGAAATTTTATAGTGGCCTCCGAATACATCTGATGAGTTAGCCACAATATCTGCCTTCAAAAAAGAGTTGATTGTAACCTTGGATTATCTATAAGCAGCCTGAGAGCAATGATACACTTAGAACTTCTACAAAATCTTGTAGCAAAGTGAAATCTACATTAGTAATTCCATCTATCATCATGCTATATCATGTAAGAAGAGCCACACATCTATGGATCATCCAATAAAATCAGCAGACTCCTAGATGTTACTACTGCTCGGCTTAAACTCTGCTGTAAGTCTCTGGGAATTTTCATTACCTGCTGAAGCAGACTTGACTAAATGTAAACTGTCAACAAAATTATTCGCACACCCTCCGTCGCTATGTGATGGAGTAAAAATACGCGAATTCAGAGACAATTCTAAAACAAAGGTTCAAGAGATGTGTAACTATTTTACTCGAAATGATCTGCTACCAGGATATTCCCAATCTTGTAGTGTTGACAACAACAATACGCGCTCAGACGCCTCTGTGTCTAGACAGACACCACACCCCTCCCTCCACCTCCTAGTACCCAAGACACCTGGACACCTGCTGCCTGGGCAGAGTCCAAGACGCCAGTCGACCAGACGCTAATTGCTTGTTTAGCTGCCAGCCGATAGTTACCTACTAGATTCACGCCATGTCTGACGTCATTGGCCCTTATATATATACAGCTCCCTGGCGTCCAGTCATCTACGGGAGACATCTCCCGTCACGCAGGGTGCAGTCGCACCTCCACAGATCTCCAGTATCAGCTCTTGATACTGGTAATGGCTCAAAAGGGCTATTACACTTACGGGCTATTCATGCCCGTGCCACCTTTTGGGTGGCTTAATCTTCATCAATTAATCGTCCAGTCATCAGAATACACTTCGTGCTCTCAGCAGTAACATACAGCTTTTGTATAAAGTTATTGCACCTTTGCCATTAACGTAAGTGATTGATTGATAAAGATTAAGCCACCCAAAAGGTGGCACGGGCATAAATAGCCCGTAAGTGGTGGCCCTTTTGAGCCATTACCAGTATCAAGAGCTGATACTGGAGATCTGTGGAGGCGCGACTGCACCCTGCGTGACGGGAGATGTCTCCCGTGTTAACGTAACTGTCATATGTGTATATTTCTCGTGTAAATTATGTTTAAGCCAAGTGGATAAGGGGTTTTGTTTTGTATGCTATTAAAGTAATTTTTGTTATATTAAATATTTAAAGTTTTTCATTCTTTGGTTTATACCCGCAGCTCTCACACAGTAGAGGTCAGAAGCAGTCTTATTTACTTTATTTTACCTTTTTTTTTATTAATATGCGATTGGAACAACAACAGCCAGATTAGCCACTGCTCTATATCAGATTATCGTTACAGTAGTAACTGGTTCACCATAGCTCCTGGCTATGGTGAACCCATACTGCTAGGAGCAGTATGGGTTCACCATACTGCTCCTGTATATATATATATATATATATATATATATATATATATATATATATATATATATATATATATATATATATATATATATATATATATATATATATATATATATATATATATATATATATATAAAGGGGTACCACCTCTGGTGCAATTGTAGAGACCCATAGCCTCCGAGAAGAAAATAAAGAGTACTCAGAGAAGACCTTGTGGATCCTCACTGAACACGTTAATATTTTCTTCTCCTACCACTCCTCTAGGTAGAAACATAGTCAATATGTTTCACTGAATATGACTGCATATTCTGTATTGATTATTTTCTTGTTTAGGGCTTCTATCCATCAGGACTAAAGTATAGTTCCTGGCTGGTCAGTAACCTGTGTTGTTGTGGCCGTAATGACCACAACAATTCGTTATTGCCTTCAACCTCGTTCTGACAGTTCGTGCGACGGCGCTGGAACCAATCGTATTGGCGTTAGCCTTTCCACGGGAGACTTTTCGTGCCATGGAGAGAGGGGGTGTGGGGGAAAGAACCTGCTGCTTGGGTAACAGCTTCTTCCCCGCATCAACCTACCTAGGCTTTACACCCTGGAAAGGCCACTCCAGACCGACAACCAGAGAGCAACTCCATAGTTTCCTGATACTGATGGATGCCTACTACTACTAATGACCTTCCGTAGGTGTTAAGCCCAACACTCAACCAAACCAAATTACTTGCTAACTGTCCTTATGTCTGGATAGTTAATCTGGGACGATAACCGGCGTCAAGAGTTTCAATAAAACAGGTAAATAAAAGGCATGTCTTTATTAGATAACTTTATGAAAATAAGAGAAGCGAGTAATATTTACACTAGTATAAATGGTGAGAGACAAGGAGAGATTTTCACACCTCTGGCAACGCTTCGTATTTCTAGACAAGCTGAAAATGTAGAAAGGGAGAGAAGGAAGGAGGGAGGGAAAGAGATAAAGAGAGGGAAGGAGGGAGGGAGAGAGAGAAAGAGAGGGAAGGAGGGAGAGAGAAAGAGAGGGAAGGAGGGAGGGAGAGAGAGAAAGAGAGGGAAGGAGGGAGGGGGAGAGAGAAGAGAGGGAAGGAGAGAGAGAGAAAGAGAGGGAAGGAAGAGGAAACACGGAAAAAGATACACAGAGACAATACAATTAAGGACAAATAGTAATATTAAGAGAAAGAGAGAGATCTAAGAATGTAGCAAGACACTATATAAGCAGTTACAGAACAATATGGAACTGAAAGATAATAATTAATATCATACATTATATTCAAAGAGATTCCTAGAACTATGTGGCTTTACATATCTAAATATTCTATATATATACAGATATATATATATAATATATATATATATATATATATATATATATATATAATATATATATATATATATATATATGTCGTGATTCACTGCTACGGTTTATTTATCTGTACAAAGGCAAATGTTTGTCCATTTGATTTGATACAAATTATTTTTTAATTGGGAAAAGATGACCAAATTTTCTTATTCCCATTTTTTTTTTCTAATAACCTTCAGCATCTTGTAAAAGAAAAAAAAACATGAACACAAAATTCCCTAAAGTTGTTTACGAAAAAAATCAAATTTTCTCATGAAAACAAGCGGTTTACCTGGTTGTAAACTACATCTCAGCCTTTCTTGAACAGCCTAGTAGGGATTTATACACAGTGGGGTATACCTTAGTTTACCTGTGTATATACTCAAGACTGTGTACATAGTCCTGGACTGTATTCAAGACTAAAGTATACCTGCTGGCTGGTCAATAATGAATTGTGGTGTCCTTAATAACCTTCCCCTGGGGTGACAGGTCTTAATAACCCTTCTGAGGTTGATATAGGCCTTAGTAACCTTCCAGAGGTTGAAGAGCCTTAATAACCCTCCAAAGGCTGATAATAGGCTTTAAGCCCAACACCAAAGCATGGACAATATTGTGGAGAATCAACACATTCTAAGTTATTCAGGTTCAAAATTCATATTAATAATAGGCAATAATAATAAATAATAACAATTACAAAAAGAAAATTAAAAATAATCGTCATAAGAATTATAATAACACCAATACATTGATCAAAACCGTGTCGTTAGCCAACGTCTCGTTGTGTGTGGGCCTGTCTCTCTCACAAACAAACAAATACACACACACACACACACACACACACACACACACACACACACACACACACACACACACACACACACACACACACACACACACACACACACACACACACACACACACACACACACATACACACACACACACACACACTTGCCTTTGTACCAGCAGACATTCCATTGTAGCGAGGCTCACGATGGTCCTCTGAGAAATTGTATATATATATATATATATAAAAAAGGCATCACCTGATTCAGAGTCTTGAGTGATACATGTTGAGGATATGTTATACTTGTATAAATATCTTAAGGGAACTAACACCGGAGGAAGTAAACAAAAAAAAATGACTAATCAGAGTAACAATGATATATATTTATATATTTCTGGTGACCTTCCACTCAGGGTAATGATCCTCACCGTTCGCAGTCAACGAAAAGAACTGGAGGAGCCGGTACTACGAGAGCAGAACTGGTGGGTAAAGGCAGCCAGGGCTGGCGAAGGTGGATCTGACGTGCTCTCTAAACTCCTGCACCCCTTTTCTTTTATTTAATAGTCAGGTGGGAATATTTCTGCCGGGTCCTGCTAACACTGCCCTCCGTGTACCGCCTTCAGGAGCGCACACGAGCACCTCCACCTTCACCATCGGCTGTTCGACCAGGGCCCCCCAGCAGCAAATTTGCATCTGGGGTTGTGTTGATTTAGGGGGCGACGACGATCAGTGGGATCGGATGTGCCCTGCATCTGGGGTTTACCTGGAGTCAAAAAGTCCTCGTAGAAAACTGGGTTCTGGACGTGTGGATAACTATAGTATATAAGAACAGTGACCGCTGAGCCTCTGGGAAGGAGGGGATAAGAATGCTGAAGGTAGAGGTGCCAGAATAGATGACATGGACGTGTCAGTGCCAGAGGTGGGGAGAAGTTTGGCACTCTGGTATTGTAAAGTGTGCAGCAGTGACGATAGCAGCAGCAGCAGCAGCAACGGGAGTGCAATCATGCGCGGATCCGCTATCATGAAGGAATATAACATTGGCACACATCAAGACTAAGGGATGGGGGAAAGAAAAATGCTCGATAAGGCAGTAGAGAGCCACAACACGACTTGTAGCCTTGTTAGAGACGCTCTACGACACCGGACTCGCTGAAGTCCGGATCTGTCCGGAGTAAAGTCCGGATTCCGGATTTGGAAATCCTTCTCCTGTACACCGTGGTTCCCTTCTAGGTGCACATTGCCATAAAGAATCGAAACGTTACAGCAAAGAGAGGACAAACGTTTTGCTACTTATGAAAAAATACAAGTAATATGGATGTTCAAGGGAAAACATTTCTCCCAAAGTGGCTACTGAAGTTTTGTACAGTGTAAATCAAAGGCAAGAGACTGAGCCAGGAGTATACGCTGTAATGAAGGCTGATCGAAAGATATACTCTTACAAAACGTGTGTTATTCTGACTATATATATTCCCTATTCTACGATAATTAGGTTTATAATATATACATATTCATATATATTAATGCAATTCGGTATTACGAAAGCTGTATCATGTATTGAAGACTATAAACTGTGGGCTGCTGGGCCTTCTGACCAATATACATGTTAATGACGAGTTTTCATTCAATGTACAGTAATGATGAGGATATTGATTAATATAAGAGTGCAATATAACAATGTTTTAAAACGCCTTAGCTATCGAACTGAGCAAGGCAGTTCCTCAAGAGAGGTAAAGACGCCATGAACCTGTAGTACATAGACCTTATTCAGGCGATGAGTCACAATAACGTGGCTAAATTATGTTGACCAGACCACACACTAGAAGGTGAAGGGACGACGACGTTTCGGTCCGTCCTGGACCATTCTCAAGTCGACTATGTGTGGTCTGGTCTACATACACCTTAGTTACCTGGTCCGGAAAACCAGGTAAGTGGTTTTCATATGTGTTTTCAACACATGTGTGTATGTTATTGTGTGTGTGTGTATGTATGACGATGAAATCAACACGTGATGAAAAATGTGACAATGTCAGAGCAAGAAGGATTAAGACAGGAATTTCCTTTAAGTACTTTCGAACTTAATAATACATCTTCAGAAGGATCCTTCTGAAGATGTATTATTTACTACGAAAGTACTTAAGGAAATTCCTGTTTTAATATTTATAGTTAGCGAAACGCATTTAGGAATTGCTGTGTTTCTATTTCAGATTGTGTAAATACCGAAGGCCGTCTCATCCACATTCAGAAGCACAATGTCGATGTCTTTCTGGTGTGGAAAGAAAGTGATAGGGGTAGATTAGAGCTGTAGAGGGGGTAAATCTGGGCAGTAGAGGGGAAGATCTGGTCAGAATAGGGGGAAGATCAGGGCAGTAGAGGGGTAGATCAGGGCAAAAGAGGGGTAGATCAGAGCAGTAGAGTGGTAGATCAGAGCAGTATAGGGGTAGATCAGGGCAAAAGAGGGGTAGATCAGAGCAGTAGAGTGGTAGATCAGAGCAGTATAGGGGTAGATTAGGGCAGTATAGGGATAGATAAGGGCAATATAGAGGTAGATCAGGGCAGTAGAGGGGTAGATCAGAGCAGTATAGGGGTAGATCAGAGCAGTATAGGGGTATATCAGGGCAGTTTAGGGGTAGATCAGAGCAGTATAGGGGTAGATCAGGGCAGTATAGGGGTAGAGCAGGGCAGTAGAGAGGTAGATCAGGGCAGTAAAGGGGTAGATCAGGACAGGGGTGGCGCTGGTCCAGAGAAGGAGAAGACTGTGTATTTCTATCAGTATTTCTCTTTACCATAAGACTATGTAAGGTCTTTCTCGTAAGAGGTTAATTTAGACAAAATTAAACATTTTCTGTAATTTCATTGTTACTCCTCTTGAATCATGAGTAACTTGGCTTTTTCGTTTTCCTCTACAGAAATTGACAGATAACTCATTAGATGATTTTTTTAATAGTAACCAGATCTGATTATTTTGGTACTATTTCATTTCCTTGAACCGTCAGAGCCTCGAACCCGGGACCACAAAAGCGTAAGCCTATAGTCATACCAACCGCGCCACTCAGCACCCACAATATGTTGGTACAATGTAGTTTAACACTATAAGTATCGAATGTTATTTGAAGTGTTGATGGAGAGGTAGACTCATTGATGAGTAAGACCCGTCATGCCCTCTGTCATGCTCATGCCTCACCCCGTCCTCCTAAGGTTTCGCAACGTCAAGAAAACGGTAAATGTAAAGTGCCTTTATCCTAACCTTCCAGAGGACCCAAAACAGAAAACGGGACAGTACGTCACTTTCCCCAGCCGTTTTCATTTACTAGTAAGGCAATTTTTGGCCTTATATAACGCATACAAAAAAGCGACGTTTTTTGTAAGAGGACAGTTTGCATGCCCAACCGCTCACAGGATGAATATAGGGCACTCAATAAACTGAGATCCATATAGAGAGCGTAGCGACCCCTGGCACCTACCATGAGAGAGAGAGAGAGAGAGAGAGAGAGAGAGAGAGAGAGAGAGAGAGAGAGAGAGAGAGAGAGAGAGAGAGAGAGAGAGAGAGAGAGAGAGAGGAGAGAGAGAGAGAGAGAGAGAGAGAGAGAGAGAGAAAGTGATGTGTGTGTGTGTGTGTGTGTGTGTATTATATATATATATATATATACTATAATATATATATATATATATATATATATATATATATATATATATAATGTAGGTAAGTAATGGTGATCGTCACATTCAGGAAAGTTGTTAAATACAGTATTTTTAACATTGTGCGAGCTGTACCTGCGACCTCCAGCTCCTGGGGTCAGGAAGATCCATTAATGATGGTCTTCTCCTTCCCCCGGGGGTCAAAGGTCGTGGAGGAACCAAGCATGAGGTCTACTATGGCTATTTAAGGGGGTAACGATCGCTGTCAATCACGTGTTCTTCTTCTCTACCATGTAAGGGGGGGGGGGTCTCTGGAGTTGATCTACAGCTGAGCGTCGTTGTCAACTGGTCACGCGCTGTGTACTTCACTCATCGATATGTAAACACATATAAAAAGTACATAAGAGTGTAATCACACGTACATAAGGCCTCTTCGACGGGTCTTGTAGCAGTGTACACTTCAACACGCCCAAAGATACGTCCCTTCTGCAGCTGCTGATCCCTCATTTAATTAAACATCTTTACCTCAATATTCACATCGCAATCCATTAAACATAATCCCTCCCCCCGACACATCGGTGTTTCTGCTGTGTATGAAGCTCACGCCACTGATGAATACAGCAGCAACATGGCCAACATAGCGGTCGTCGTTGTCACCCTCCTTCGGCTCACAGTAGGCAGCAGACTTGGTTCTTCCAGCAGCTCAACGTGGACTATCCGTCAGGAACCCGAGGCGGTATGTCTGGAGGGTCGAGGAGATCGGAGGCGCCGTTCTCGAGGGAGGCGGCCAGTTTGGACCACTTGGCCATGTTCTTCGCCGCTCCGTCTCTCATGGGTGCTATCTTGAGGTTCACCTTCGTCAGTCCCTGTAGCAGTTTGAGGTGTTAGGTGAGTGGCGTGAGATTAGGACGTCAAAGGGAAAGGGAATATTGCATTTTATATTACAAAGATGGAAGAGGTTGTTTATTTTTCACTGAATAGTGCAATTATGCCTGGGGATTTTGTTACACACACACACACACACACACACACACACACACACACACACACACACACACACACACACACACACACACACACACACACACACACACACACACACACACACACACACACACACACACACACACACACACACACACACACACACACACACACACAAACACACACCTCAAAGAGTGGGAGACAGATATCCTTGATCCAGCGCATCTGCAGAAGTGGCAGTTCATGTTTGCGATCTCTGTCCATGAGCGCTGGCGGCGTGATCTTCAGCTTGCTCTTCTCCAAGTCCCCCTGGTCGAAGAACTCAGACGTCACCAGTTTGGCTACCCTGAGGAGACGTGAGAGAGGTCGGAGAGATCTGTCTTACCCCCTACATGTAATTACAGGAAGATACCTACTCTCCCCATGTCTTGTCAAACCCATAGATTTCTTTACTAAACAGTTTCAGAATTTTGTCGTAAAAAAAGTCTCCCCCTGGGATATATATCAATCACTCAATGGCCAGTACTTTGACGTGGAGAGGGGTTCGAGGGTTTCCGGTGACCTAGAGGGAAGTTGAGTGATTAGACCTCTGTCTAGTGAATTCTGTCCCCATGTGATTCTATTCATTACGACATATACACGCCCTGTTTTCTATAGCTGGAGGTTGAGTATCCACGAGGACTCTGTACTTGTGGCCAAAGTTTACAGAGTCGCTTAGTAGTCTGTATCAAAGTCGAGGCGTCATCTTTTGTAGAGCTAATCAAAAAATAGTTAAGATAGCTGGAGTTGCTATTGACTGTCAAAATAATTCCAATCCCTGACTATCAGTCAAACCCTCCTACTAATGAATACTGTCTCCAGGATATATATATGAGGTGTTGACCAAATCACACACTAGAAAGTGAAGGGACGACGACGTTTCGGTCCGTCCTGGACCATTCTCAAGTCGATTGGCCACAATCGACTTGAGAATGGTCCAGGACGGACCGAAACGTCGTCGTCCCTTCACTTTCTAGTGTGTGGTTGTCTCTAGCTCATAAACATGTCCCCTTGGTAACTGATGAAGAGGCATGCACCTGTGCTGACCACTCACTTGAACTGTATGTCCCAGGGCTTGGTGGAGGCGGCGATATCACAGGCGGTCATCAGAAGGGACCGCAGGAGGTCCCGGTGCTCTCTGATGCTGGCGTCGAACTGGCCATCAGCCACCAGAGGGAAGAACTGAGAGCGCAGTCTGGTGGAGAGAGAGAGTGAGAGAGAGAGTACGGTGTGTGTGACATCACTGGGCATATGGCGTCGATATGGAGAGATGCTTGCCTGCGTGGGGCACCAACCACTTGGGCTGGACGGTAGAGCGACGACCTCGCTTCGTCCAGGTCGGCGTTCAATCCCCGACCGTCCACAAGTGGTTGAGCACCATTCCTTACCCCCCGTCCCATCCCAAATCCTTATCCTGATCCCTTCCCAGTGCTATATAGTCGTAATGGCTTGATGCGATTTTCTCTGATAATTCCGTCCCAACCTCCTGCGTGGGGACTTTGTGTATTTATTATTTGTGTCTGCAGGATTGAGCTGCTAGCTCCTGGACCCCGCCGTCCTAACCGTCGGTTGTCTAATGTATTGACTCACTGATTGACGAAGATTAAGCCACTCAAGAGGTGGTACGGGCATGAATAGCTCGTAATAGTGAATCACGATTTTCTCCGTCATATCTACTAGGCCAACTACTGACCACCGCGAGGAAGCAACCCACAACAGCTGTCTAACTATCAGGGACCTAGTTACTGCTAGTGACTGGGGCGAGTGCTGCATAATGGGGTAAATTCAGAGAAGTGTAAATTGAGTGCAGGAAAAAAACAAGAGAGACCCAATTTATATATTTGATCTTAAACCATATAGACTTTAACCTCAATGACTTAGTGACTTGAAACACACACACACACACCCACACCCACACACACACACACACACACACACACACACACACACACACACACACACACACACCACACACACACACACACACACACACACAACACACACACACTCACACTCACACACACACACACACACACACACACACCCCCACCCACCACACACACACACACACACACACACACACACACACACACACACACACACACACACACACACACACACACACACACACACACACACACACACACACACACACACACACACACAACCTAAATTACGATACGGATTAGACCAGCAAGATCCCCCCTCCCTCTACCCCCTTTAAGACAGTAAACCAGAGAATGATTTGAAAGAGCAGCAGAAGGAACGTGAATAATGCCTTAAGACTTACTGGAAGTAGACAGTGAGGTCTGTGGCCAAGATGGAGAGCTTGAGCACATTCATGACCTTGGAGTACTGAGACGAGGTCAGGTTACTGAAGATGTTGTGCCCCTGAGAAAGGATCATTACTTGGGGTCAATACTGCGGGTTAAATCAGGCACTGACGCGGTTACTGGGAGTTATCAAGGGTTGGGTTATGATATTGCAGGAAGTTGGCAATGCTCAATGCGATCACAAACAACATGGTGGATCAGTGGATAAAGATCGAGCCAAGGGGGGAGTCAAAGGACGCGGGTTCGAGCCCATTTTACGGTTTCGATATTTTATCTTAATTATCGTGAGTGAGTATTAGTATATAGAGTTGCATCTCATAGGTGATTAAAAAGAGAGT